TGACGAGTGGTACCCCGACCTGCGTGTAGCCCTGACAGCCCAGAGCCTCACACAGAGGCTCAAGTATTTATGCAGGCTTCTGGGCTGGTTTTGTGGCTGTATGTTATTCGTTCCTGCTTTAGCTCCATTTAATTTAGGGTTGGGAACCCTGCGCGATTTACAGTGGGGAACCTGTAGACACCCTCCAAGGGAAAGGTTTGAAAACCGGCAGGTTTGCACGCAGCTTTCGGCAAGTCATCTGGAAATCCCGAGCTGCTTCAGAGCTGATTCTGTTCCCTTGCACAGCCAAGGTGGTGCTGCCTCCTACTGCCAGAAGTCCCCCGACCATTGTGAACATGGCACGCCTTCAGCCAGGAGCCACCCTAGGGAGTCAGCTCCTGCCAGGTCTGTCTCCCCACCTTCCTCAGCAGGATGGAGAAGGAGGAGTTCCAGGCTGGGAAGGCTTGCAGGACCCCCTTTCTACCCAGAGCGAATGAAGATGAAAATTAAAGAAATCTGGCCAGTTTAGGTGCTGGGCTTGCTCCAGTACCGACGGGTATATATATAACACCATGTGAAAACAGCCTTTTCTGTCAGCTGGGGTAAAGCTCAGCGTGGCTGAACTTGGAGCCTGCAAGCAGGTACCATTCTCAAGGAATACATTACTTCTGTGTGAAGGACTGAAAGGCAGTGTGTTTACACTGACCTTTTAAAGCCACGGCCTGTGCTGCCTCACTCGTCTTATTTTAAGGGAAGATTTTGCAACCCACATTGCAGTGTGGCCCTGATTCTCCCCTGAGTCCCAGCTCACACAGTGATTTGCAGAAGTGCTTAAATCACCCTGGATATGGTACGTACAGCAAGGGAGGCTTAGCCTGTCTTTATGGGCTAAATCACTAGAGGCAGCCCTGCTTTACATCAGGGCTAGTGCTGATGGTAGGTTATTCTCTAAAGCCTAAGGTACACTGTGATGCTCACAAGTGGCAGCTCACAAACACAGGAAAACTTGGAAGTGAAATTCTGTGGGCTAAATTCATCATCCAAACCAAGATCAATAGAAGACGTAAACAAACAGCATGAGCAGCACTGAATGAATTAAATTTCAAACAGTCATACATAATGATAGCAACATAGGCAGCATGTTTTATGTTTTTAATATGTTTTAACACACAAGATTTTTAATTTTTTTGTACATTTCTTGCATGTATATTATTATGTTGTTGTTCTTTTCTTTCCCATCATGGCCATGATTCTCTTCTCATGCAGAATAAAGAACATCAAGACTTACTGCATTGAAATTAATGTCAGTTGAAAATCTCAACTGTTGTGGTTAACTGCCAAGTGCTGGAAGTTTTCCCTTTTCTCCTCTGGCCTTGATGCCATTTTTGAAACTCCTTGTATGTGAGACCTCACCTTCAAGTCACCCTTTTCACCCCTGATTTTGCTTCCTCTGTTGATGTGTCTGGCTGCGAAGTCTTGTGACTTTCCTGCACCCCTCCACTGACTCCTTGGCATAACACCATGGGCAGTCCCAGTGGCCAGAGCAACCTCTGTGCCCCACAGTCTCACTCACTCAAATCCTTTCTGCTTGCCAGTCATTGAACAGCAACCTCACCTGCTGCTTTCTTTCTTACAAATGTCCCATCTATTGCCAAGCATGGTGTGATTATAACTATAAAATCCATTAAATTAACACAGACTGTTTAAAAGGAGTTCAGGAACACCTTTCATGCTGCCTGTTGCAATCCTTCCCTGCAGCCACTGGTTCCCCCTGTCAGCCCTTGCTGTGTGACTTGTCAACATATTTTTAGCTCCTGTAGGGAACAAAGCCTACCTCTTTAGGAAAGCATGGTGTTATATAAATATAAATATACTGTGTGATATCTAGTCCTGCTCATTATACCTATATTTTTAATGATTCAGGTAGACATTACTTGCCCCCTCATTGTGCTCTTTCCTCTGGTAGCAACTCTTCATTAAGAATAAGCAAGCAACTGTGACCAGTCAAACAGACTTTCAAAGAAGAGCTAGAAAGCCTAGGAACAATAAGTAATTCAAATCCATTACATAAAGAGTGCATGTAACAAGGAAGCTGAACATCATCTTAAAATTGGACATTTCCTACTTCTCAAACTCTCTGTCTCGAGTGTGGCATGGCAACTGCCTGAGGAAGAGTAAAGATAATTTTAATGCAACATAAAATAAGGGGGAGGTGAGAAATACTACATCCTTAGTCAACATCCTCTGTGAAAAATATTGCCATAGTATCTGGTTGGTATAACCTACCTTTAAAACATGTACCCAGCGAGAAGTGAATTACCAGCAAATTCCTAAGACCTTAGCTGAATGCTTTCAAAAAACAGGAGAGGAGTTCTGGACATGATCAACGTAGGAAATTACGTAGTATCAGTACAGTGTGTCTCAAGAATTTGATTTTCTGTGTCTTACCCCGCTTTTGGCACACCAGTGCAGAGGTGGTGGGACACGGCCAGGCCTTTCTTTTGCCTGTGGATGTCACAGGTTATGGGGGCAGCCGCGCAGCTGTGTATACACGGCGTGGTCCATGCAACCATGCTTGTCACACCTTGCAGTTTCGAGGACAAAATGGGGGCTGCTACATCTCATCACTTCTCACCAGTACGTCTGCTCTACTCCCAAACAGCCTAATCCTTCAGCAGTTCCTCTGGGGCACAGATTGCTACATTGCTCAAGGGGAGGACTAGCAAGCACAGTCACACTTGTTTCAGTGTGTGATGTGCTTCTAGCACTCCTTGCAAGGCAGTCCCCCCAGGGCAGCTCCAGTAGCTGCTCTGAGCTCTTGTGTAGGCTGGGACAGGACATGTATGGTTCCTGAGTGTTTACATAAACCTCAGACACAAATAACTTCCAAAAGATGAAAAAGCTAAGAAGCATTATTTAGTCTTGCTTCAGCAACTCAACGCCACACTGAGTAGTACCTACTTCAACTGGGCACTGGCTCCACTGGGGCAAGGGATCCTAACTTAGAGTAGGTGTTACCGAATCAGTCCCTTGGTGCTTTAGCATGTGTTTTGTTTGCCCAAGGATCTCTAAAGTAGTCTATTGAATATATTTTATAATAGATTTGCTATTTAAATTTAAATAGTGTTCCACTATAATTAGATACTTAAAGGCTTAAGTGTAAAGAGTTTTAAGTGCAGGTTTTTTTCATAACCTCATAGTTTACAGCAAGGCAAACCCACTGGATTATCTTGTCTAGCCAGCTGTATATCATAGCCCATCCAGTTTCACTGTTTTTCCTGTATTGAGCTCAGTAACTTGCAGTTTGTTCAGATGCACAGCCCATAGTTTAGTACTCTTACCACAATAAAATGGGCATTCATAAATAATTTTACTCTCTAAATAGCTTTACTTTCCCCTTGTATCTTTATGTCTTCAACCCAAGAATCTCATTAAGTCGCTGCTACATTCCAGCACAGTGGCCGTTGTTGCTTCAGCAGAGAGCAAAATGAGCTCTGAATTGGGTTTTCCTATTTATTTAAACTTACAATCTGCTTTGAAATTCCTTAGGATGAAAGCTGTGTTTGTGTCTGATCACTTAGGTATGTCTAACTGTAACTCTGGCTCAGCACATATAAGTACTCCTCGATTCCATGCTCTTATATACCCCTTTAGTGCGTTATTACATGCTATGTTTGTTAGGTGGTTTTTCTCTAGTCACTACTGAAGGAACCAAAAATATTGTGAATGATTTCTCTTCTGCAAATATCATCACAGTCTATTTATACACTGTAGCTTCTGAGATTTGATAAGAACAGAGCGTAATATGGCATGGATACAGATGCTGTCAAAGTTAAGTTAACACAACATATTTCATTGCCCTCCCACTTAATATGCACAATACACAAATGGTTGCAAACTATCGTTCTTTTAAAGAAGCAAAATATATGGATTTAATTTGTAATGATTTATCTTGGTAACTAATCCAAATTATTAGTTAACAATAGCTAAAACAGAGAACTATAATGGATTCTCTGGATAATGAAAATATTTATTATTTTAATAAGTTGCATGGCTGGAAGTCTAAGTCAAGTATTAGTCTACTGGCCACATATTGCTCTTGATTCATGCATAGAACCCCACAGAGGTAGGGGCATGGCCATGTCCCCAAATGAAGAAATATAAATTGCTGCTTCCAAGTATTGATGACAGCATTTATCATGTCAGCTGCAGAATTGATCCATCTTAAATTATGAGCCAGGGCTGAAGGAATTATGCCAATTAGAGAGACACAGATTTATTTTTTTTTCTCTTTCTTTTTTTCTTTCTTATAATTTCTTCCCCACACAAAAGGCTTTGAAAGGCTTCGAGACCTATTTATATTATGAAAGTCCTTCTGTCGCCTGAGACCTAAAGGAAAATTTTAAAAGTAAATGTAATTGCTGACGTGCTACAAGGGCCACTTCAGGCTCAGGAGAGGGGAAGGTCAAATTTTTAACCTGGAAACAAAAGGATTGAACCCAATGCTGCAAGTGGGCTTTCCCTGGAGTCTGGGTTGAACAAAGCCCCTTTGCTGGACCGTGGCTTTCTTGGAGATGGGGAGGGCGTGACCTGTGGTGCTGGTGATGAGCGTGGCAGGTACACACTATCCTCCAGAGCGGGAGCCTGGCAAAGGGTCTGCAGGTCGGGGTCAGGCACAGGAGGCGTGGGGGGCAGCCAAGAGGGTGTCCTTAGTGACACCTCCCTTTAGTCCATGCCTGCCAGTCGCCCCCCTCCAGATGTCAAGAGCCATCTTGCAAAGTGGCCAAGGGAGCAGTGGAAGGAGACCTGAGCTGCCCACTGCTGCCAGCCACACACTATGCAACTTGGGCCCAAAAGAGAAAGATTTTTAACCTCTCCTTCATCTTTCCTCCAGACATTTCAAAATTTGTGAGCTGTGTCAGATTTGCTTAAGCGATTACTACGTATTTCCTTTTACCTTACTTTCCTGCCTTGTAAACGGCTTTAATAAAAGCTGCAATTGTGATCCTCAGCGACTGCACCGTTTCAGGGTTGCATCGTTACGGAGCATCTCCTGGAGCAGCAGCAGCTCCCTGAAGAAAACCTCTGCGTGACCGAGGCTGCTGCCTTCGTCGAGCAGGCAGAGGCGAGACAGAGACAAAGGCAGCAGCTCAATCCCTGCCTCCCTGCCGTGCTGGAGGCAGGCGGGGATGGAGCTGTGGATGTTCCCCATCTTGAGCCACTGCCTGCATCGCTCAGGCAAGCCCTGAGCAAAGGCAGTGCCAAAACATCTGGGAAAGATTATGATTTTATGTTTATGTTTTGGGATAATTACGTTTGCAAACCAAAACAAGGAGGAGAGGCAGGTGGTCCTTCCTGAACAACCATAGGGGCTTGTACGTGCTTTTCAGGGGTCTCTGGTGCTGCTGTAAGCTGGGATTAAGTACCAGCAGCCAGGACCTGCTGTGGGACACAGAGCGGGGACAGGGATATGGCCAACATCCCATTTCTGAGCTGGCCTGTTGTTGCCCATTGTAGTTGCCAGGTCATCTACCTGGTGTCTGAAAGGGACTCTCTTCCATTTGTTGTCCCAGACAGGTCACCTAAACTGGACATGGAGGTTGCAATCACCACCTGGCCTGAACACAAGTCCCCAACAGCTACTGTTCTGCAAAACTAAGTGAAGGTGCTCAGCTTTGAAGACAGGCCCTTTGCTTCCCACACCACACCCTGCTCTTTGGAGAGGTTGTTAAAGTCAAGGAAGCAGTCCAGCAGCATCATTTGGTATGGACACTGGCGTGGATCTGGACTTCACAGGGGTCTTACTCTGAGAAAGGAGCACCTAATGGTGAGGAGCAAGAGACAACAGTGGTAATGGTCTGCCTGGGGGAGACAAGGTGTCTATTCAGAAATATCAGGCACTTCAAAAAAACCAAACAAACAAAAACCAGTTTAGGATGGAATCCTTTCATCAACTGGTAACACCTCAGGAGGTGGCAAAGGCCTTGCTATGGATGCAAGTTGACCAGCCCATTGCTACCACATTGAAAGGTTTCCTCCAGCAGCTGCAGGTGCTGCTTGGTCCCTGGGCTTGCAGGGTTGCTATTGAGAGTCCAGGGCAGCTCATTGGACCTTACCTCAGTATTTTGATACTTGATAAACCTCATGCTCAGCAAAGCTCCAGTAAACATCTCTCAGGTGAGGCTCTTACTTCTGGGCTACTGGGAGCATTATTCAAGGTAATGTTTTGTTCCCTGAGGGAAAAAGAGAGTCTTTTAGAAAGGCAGTAAGGTGTTTAAAGAAATATTTCTGGATGTCTTAGTGCATTTTTTATGTACAAAAGGTTGTGTATCCAACTTAAAGGGCACAGACCTTAGAGAAATTCAAAGGATCTTTTGAAAAAAGGTTAAATACATTTAAAATTTATGAGTGTGCACCCATGCAAATTGGAAAAGGAAATTAAACTATATCGGCAGGAAAAGAAGAATAAATCTACTTACATATGATGTAATTTAGAAAGTGAACTCTACCTTTGAATGATGTCTGGATGAAAGGATAAGGTAATGCTGAGGAAGGCTTAATATCTGGGCTTAAAAAGCCACATGGGGCCATAGGAAAAAAAGGTTTGCAACGTACTAGTATACTCGTTATTAAGAGTTTCCAGTAGAATGGAACCTATCTGGCTTTGCAGCTAAGAGAGAAAGATACACAAACAGAGAAAGTACAGTTTTTTTGAACTCATCCTTGTTTTCTGTACAATTAGATCTGTACTCCACGTAGCTAATATGAAAACCTACACACCAGTATTTTTTCAAACTCTGATTAGGTCTCGATTTCCTATGCTGTGCAAAATAAACTTCTAGTCAAAATAACTAGAACTGAGAACAAGGGGGGGAAATGATGGGATAGAGATGTAAAGCAGAAGGAAACCATTTGCGTGAGTATTTCAGGGACACATAAAGCACCAGCCAACTTCAAGAAAACAGCAAAAGTAATTCACAATCGTGTCCTTTAAACTAAAGGTGGAAGTTGTCTGTGTCTGAGGCCTGGCATGATACAGAGTGTTACAACCCGTGTGCCATGTTAAAAGCACTGGTGATGGCAGCTGAGTTCTTCCTGGGGAGGTTCTTACCAAACAGTGCCCAACAATTGGGTCCCTGGGTAATAATTTTATTGGAGGTGCCAGGAAGGGAACGGCCATGGAATTAATACTGCTGCCCTGTGCTGTTCCTATTCCGAGGGCGAGAGAGGACTTTGCTTTATACTGCTGACATTGCAAATCCCTTAATGAGCACTAAATTCATTTAACACAATTCTAACTCCCTCAGATTTCTGACACAGCTTAACGTGTCAGCTTTACCTTTGAGTTTTCTGTGTTTTGCTGGTTTATGCCTTCAACCTGAGGATCCATAAAGCCAGTATTCCTTTTTATTCACTTTACCTGTTTATTCTTTAGTATATTTACCCTTTTATTAAGAGCTTCCACTTGGTTAAGACTTGTTCAAGTATAAGCTCAACAAGAAGCATTTTCCTTTATACTGTAATAACTCTATATTGTTGCCTAGAGGCTGTCAGAAAGTAACGTAAGATTCATAAAAATATAACTGTCTGAGCCAAGTAGATAGAATTATGGTAAGCATTAACCAAAGTATGTTTCTCTGTCCTATAGGGTGAAATCAGAACATCTTAATGTTTTCTTTCTTGGGTCACATAATTCTGCAAAAGAACATGGAGAGAAATGCCAGACTGCTTCTGCTTGATTGTTACATTCTGTACCAGACTTTCAAACAGCTTTGCAAATAAAATTACTTTATTTCATTATGTGTCATTTTACATTTTGCTCATGCATCACCCCACTGAGACCATTTGGTTGAAGACACTTTTTTTAAGCTATAAGCAACTGGAATTTTAAACTCATTTATACTGTAATTCAGGATGCTTCTAGTAGCCCCTTTTCAGGTTTAACAATTACATTAGTACATCTTTAGAAAAAGAGAAATGTGTGTCTTGTCCTCATTCATTTTTTATCCAAGTAATATTAAAAAATCCCAAACCTCCAAAAGGCACACTGCTGGGGAAATTTTAACTCTATTGGAACCTTCATGTTTTTTTCTGAACAGAACTTTTTTTGTCATGGTTTTGTTTTTGTTTTTTTTCTTTGAGTTGGATAAGGGAAATGTAGACTTGCAAACTTCCCTTACTGAACCAAGGGGTTTGAAATAGCCTGTACCTCTCTAGCTCTCCTACAGCAAGGTGGTGGCTTCAGAGCACCACACTTCTTTCTCCCAAAAGAGGGGGTCAGTGTTTTGGATCTGAAATCCCATAAAGCCATATGTTCTGTGTCAGCAGCTAGACCAGCTCGATTAGCATCAGCAGCAAGCTTTTTGATACTCTCCTACTGTGCTGCAGAAGAGCTACTGGTGTGCAGCAGCTGTCTTCAGTGGAGAGCAAGCTAAATTATAGTAGTAGCAAGATAAATGCCACAGGCAAAGTCATGAAGGCAATACCTGTTGTGGGTTGAGAAAGAAACCTTGTACCTGGGAAGCTGAAAGAATAAAGGATGAGGTGGTCTATTACAGTATTTTCATTATTTTGTTTCAATATTTGGTTAAATTAGCAGGCCTCAAATAAGATGGAGTCAGCAATAGTTGTGTTGAGTCGACAGAACAGAGTTGAAAACTTTAAGCCACTTTTTGCATCTGTAGACTTCAGGATTCTGATGTTTTCTTTGTTCTGGTTGCCTGGTAATAATTTAATATTTTTATCTCTATATTTACTTTAATTCTTAAAAAGCCAAGAGGTGGAGATATGTTGACAGAGTGGAAAAGGAAGCTATTATTAATTAAAATTATTTTAAGTCTAAGATTAAAATAGTGTTCCTGCATATATATTTGCTTCAATGAGCTGGACCCACTGTAATGTCAAATCACTGCATAAATTAGGAAATGCAGCAGACATAGTGGCTG